ATTTTCTGAAGAGGTATTTTTCAACATTAAAATCAAGCAATAGAATGAGATGCAAAATGTAGTGAAACCATTCAAATCAATATAACAATATTAATTAAGATTAAGAATAGTTTTTGCTATTAAATCACATTATCAAACTGATGTTCAGTGCAATAAATTAAGTACATATTGAAAAATAAATTATTGTTTTTTTATTTTATCTGACAAAAGTCTTCACAACTGTAAAAAAAAAAAATACCTTCAATAACTAATTTTCGTTGTTTTTAAATTAAAATTTGTTTGAAATTATTAATTTGGACAACAGAGATTTGTGAAATGATGATGATGAGGATCATGATGCGATTTCAGTGAAAGTGAATTAGATCATTTTGAATTATCACAGCATGTCAGCTTGTGGTTTCTAGAAAATGATGTTGTCCAGTAATGCTGACATACGTGACAGATCCTGATTCAATTCAGTTCAACTTAGCTTAAAGCTGTTTTCACTTCAGTAAATTAGTACCCACAACTACAAACAAAAATCCTACAATATCGTTTCAATTCTCTGTAACAACAAAGATGATATCTCTGTTGACTACAGTTTCCAACAAGCAACAGCATGTAAAAAATGCAGCTGTAATGAATAAAACCAGGCAGACAACCAGAGAGCTGCACTCAACGTTTGGTTTGTATAATTATAATAATAATCCTCATCCAGTGCATCATCATAATCACCACCATCATTAACTCGACAATTTTTATCTATGGGATATGCCCTACCAGTTTTAAAATCTTATGTTTAGGTTTTTGCTGCATAACATCTCCCATTCTATTGGCCCCTTGGGTCAGACTCCAAAAGCATCCAGGTGGAAGGCCAGATGTATCTTGCACTGTGATCGGCCTGCACAAGCTGCAACTAAAAATTAAAGTCAGATTGTTAATCTTTATGTCTCATTTTTCCTCAAACAGTAAACATTTCACTTAAGAATAAAATGCTGCATAAATAAATGGTTAAAATATTTTTGTTTTTGTTTAGCAAGTCTAAATTTAGAACACATTTACACTTTAGAACACTGCATGCATAGCATTGTTGTACGCTGTGTTAAAGTAGCTCATGTGCTAAAATAAGCTTATGTTAGGCATTGAATGAAATGTTGCCCATTGCAACCAGAGGACACTGAACAACAGACAGGCCTATAAAAAGGCAATATAAAAAAGGTGAAGAAGAGCATGAAGTCATCCAGCAAACCACCAGAATTTTACCACGATGCATCAGCAAAAACCCAGTCCAGCAGAACACAATGTTTTACTATCCTATGATGGATTAGAAAAAAGTATTAATTTGGTATTAAATTCTAATTTTAAAACATCAAACAAAAGAGGAGTATGTTTGCGAGTGAGAGTCTCTTTTGACATCCAGAATCTGCAGCACACTCCTAATAAAAGAGCATCTGTGTTTCTGTGTGCATTTCTGTGTGTGTGTGTGCATGATATCTTCATGTGTACAGCTCTTACATGCTTCTGTGAACTATGGAGTGCTTTAAAGGGGCCCATCAGGGGTACGTAGGTGAGAATAAAAAAGTGACTGACAGGCTAAGGAGAGAGGGGAAGCAGCACACCAGAGCAGTTCTGTACACGTGGCCTCCCAGCATCCCTGTGTGTACCGACACACACACACACACACACACACACACACACACACACACACACACACACACACACACACACACACACACAGTCTGTCTTCCCATCCGCAGCTCTGCTCTGGCACACACTGACGCATGTAGCACAGCAACAGAGTGTATATCAACTTTTTAACCCCTTTTAAGGTCAATATGACTCCAAATATTTTAAGATGATATTTTAAACTTGAAAAAAAACCATTCTGAAAGCAATGTACTGTATAATAAATGTTATCTGCTGCATGAAAAAAAAAGAGTCATGCACTACCAAAATTAAATACAGCATAAGTTAAAAACAACACATCTACTACATATCTACTTAATGAAAGGAGTATCATGCTGTTTCAAGAATTTTAAAGAATGTTTCAAGGGCCTCATTTCACCCTGGGCATGAAGCAACAACATTTGTCTATTTGATTATCAGTTATATAACCAGAGGCATGAGCCAAGCAACGTGATTGAGCCAAATTGTGTTCCAACTGTGCTGAAAAAATTCCCATAGAACAGCTAGGTGGGCTCGGTGATATACAGTACAGTCCACAGAGATGGTTGCTATGCTAACTCATGTGGTAACCAGGGAGCCAGTCATTTCTCTGTTTGTACACATAATTTAATGCAATTGAATGCAGCAGCCCTGCAACAAAATACTACCACTGTCTTATAAAGTGCTGTGTAGCATGTTTCCCTTTCGCTTGGTGAATTACATTGCTATTTTATTCAATACTTAAATTGCATTATATTTTGTACAGATTCTATGAATTTCTCTTAAGTAATTACAGTCACTACAATAATGCTTGTAGTGGCACCTTCACAGAACAGTTCTGGTATCTATAATTACAGAACTTTCACATCTGCATTTGAAACACACATTAAAATTTTCCTTTGCACATAGCAGGAAAAAAATCAGTCCTTCGATTAATTATTGAATGGAAAATAAATTAATCTAAATAAACTATTTTCATAATGAATCTTTTATTAAGAAAAATCCAAAACTCCCTCTTTTTGGGCTGTTGGTCTCACAAAGCAAATAATCTGAAAATGTCACTTTGGAACTGAGGAAATTGTGATCAAATTTTTTTTTTATAGACCAGATAATTATAATAAAAATCAATGCATTTAAATTAATCAACTTGAGGCTAATGAACCTGAACTACATAGTAATACTAAGTCTGATTATGTCATCTTCAAGTCTCCAGTCATCTTCAAATCTAATTTTGTGGGATATTTGGTGACATGTAAATCTAAAATGTTCAATGATTGAAAAATCATTTTTTTTCCACGACAATTTAAAATAACATGACAATTAAGAGAAATGAGAAATGGAAATAATCATTTTTAACTCACTATGATGTATTGATCCATCGATAGATGAGATTGTTTTTGTCATTTGCTTCTATGTTAAGTTGTTTGTACTAGAAGAGTTTTTGCACTGTGCTGTGCATTAGTGCCCTGCATCAAAGGAACACAGAAAACAAGCACCACGCTGGTGCAACAAGCGTCAACATACCAGGAAGTAGTCCGGGTACAACAGCACTGCGGCAACAGATTCTTGCCACATGTAGTTTTTTTTTTTTAAAACAACACTTTGTTAGTTGTTTGATTAAATTACCAAGTGATACAAATCTGGTTTTCACATAGCCTAACCAGAAAAGCAAAAAAATAAAAAAGAAAGAAAAGAGTTTTCACTTCTGAACTATGACAAAAAGACTTTACCATAGTTTAAGTAGGTTAACGGCACAAGAGCACAGGAGCATATCAGTTTGACAGGAGGGAGATAACAGTATCTGACACCCATGTTCATCTTTGAATTGTTTATAAAGCAGCCTGAGCCAAAACACCTCAATTGTTCTTTCAGGACAGCACTGACTCGTATTATTAACCCGAATTAATCGCACACCATCTTGTGATCCGCCCATTCAAGCCATGTTCACTAGGAAGCTCATAAAACAGCAAATAAATGTCTCCCTTCAACCTTCTACTCACAGCCTATTCCTCTATCAGTGTATAGTACAGTACTTCCAAGCTGAATTGAGGCGTGTCCACCGGACACTGTTGCAAATATGCTATTTTCTCACCGGATTCATTTCCCTCACATTAAACATACTGCATCCTGAGACATGTGCATTTCATGTTTTCTCAATGAATCATTTCCTGTGGGATGACACATTTTACGTAACTCTGGGATATCTTTATAACAAGCACCGTTTTACAGTACAATCTTGGAAAAATACCCAAAGGTGGAGCAGGGACAAATTATGATGAGTTACTTTGTATGAGAACAATTTCGCAATTTGGTCCAAAAACAACCAAAGCCGCAATATTGAAAAAAACACAAGATTGCACATGTTTATATACTCGCTAACTACCTCTTCAGGGAGATTAACACCATCTAAACTCAGCACAACTGAATATCTTAACTTCCTTATTCAACAGCACTTATTTTCCCTCCTGCTTCCCTGTAACCTGTACTCCTATATTTAACTTCTCATGGCATTCCTAAAATGTGATGCGATGTGGATGAACTGGAGGAGCGTGTGCCCTGATGTGTCTTCCTATTAGAGGTGATAAGCACCAGATGTCCACCCCAGGGGTGCTAGCATTTCCTTCACAAAAAATGTCACAGATAAAACATACAACACCTGAGCACTCTTTTTTCTTTTTTTTTTAATGCTTCTTGAAGCGATGTTTCTGTTTCACACTGGTAGACTCAGGCTTAAAAGCTGTGAAAGGCACCGACTACTTTCATTTCCCAAATGCACACTCAAGGTGTCCTGCAGGGAACTGAAGTGCCCTGATACATCCCTCGGAACTTGATTTGATTTCTAGAGCATCAACAGGGACCAGCACATATACTTTTTTGTGGTTGCGACAGCAATAGTGCAGTGCTGGCTTTTTTTTTTAAGGAGGAAATAATCTGTACTTTATCTAGACTGTCAGGGGTAGCTTATGATTCCCAAATTTTAAATCAATCTAATTCATTGTCACATATTAGTTAGTATCATTTGTCACGTCTTCAAAAAGGTTAATTTTATAAAATAGGGAGGCTATACTACCTTTTCACTGAATCTATTTCCTGCTAAAATTTACTTAACTATTACAGTGATTAATAAATAAGTGGCATTGAAAGTAACATCCAATGCATTTGGCCTTTAGGGTCTGCTAAGAATGCAGCAAGGTATGAATCACTGCCATCACCTTTACTCCCTGCCTTTATTTTTACATATTTTAACATTTTAAGTAGAGCAAATACAAAGTCGAGCATACCATGGATGAAAGGAAACACCAAATCCACCACAGAGACAAAAGTAAACAGAGAGGGAGTAATTCCATGAGACCTACCTGGAGAAGCTGACAGAAAAAGCTGCCACGGCTGCAGCAGAGGGCAGCCCATCATCACCCCTCTGTATCCCGGACGACTCTCCATACCTGTTCCCCCTGGCCCAGCTCTCCCCAACCAGAGGCAGGTTTGAGTACATGCCAAAAGGCTTCTGGTCTTGTAGGCCCACTGTGGGGGACGGGTTGGCTCTGTAGTGGTAGCCAGGTCCTGCGCCAACGCCCATAGGCGAGGACATGGGGCCTCCTCCATGGAGACTGCTCTGGAGACACTGCGCCTGGCAGAAACCAGCGCCTTCCTGCTTCTCCTGTTTGACCACACCAGGCGTACTGATGTGGATGAAAGAGTCGTCTGGATCCTTCTCTTCCTTGATCATAACGCTGGAGAGAAGTGACCCAGGCTGTTGATGCTGAAGCTGATGTTGCTGGTGCTGGTGCTGTAGAAGGTGGTGGGGCTTCTGCTGGTGAGAATGATGCTGAATGGGGTGGTCCGTGGCCTTCACGTTGGTACAGTTTACTCCGTTACCCATGTGAGACTTTGTCTCCTTGAGCAAGCCACTGACAGGACCACTACCCCCCCTGCTGTCATGCAGGATGTTATCCAAGTGTGCCACTTCTGAATCCAACTCAAAATCACTGATTTCTGGCAGAGAGCTAGGAAGGTCAAGGTCTTGCCAAATCTCAGTATCCTCAATTAGACGACCGCTGTTGCCATCCATATCACACGGACCAGCACCGATGTGTCCGCTGTAAGTTTCCATATCTTTATCCAGAGAAAAATTCCCCTCCTGTTTGATGTGTTGGGGGAAAAGGTCTGGCAGGGGGAGGTTGCCCAGGACGGAGGTGTCTGAAGTGCTGATGACAGAGGTGGACTTCTGGTTAAGGTCGGAAATACTCTGTTTCAACAACGGCAAGCTGTCCTCCATGTTGAATATATCCATATCCTGGTGTTGTTGTTGTTGTTGTTGTTGTTGTTTCTGCATTCTGATGATTTCACCCTCCTTCATGTCTGACATGACATGATGCTGAGGTGACTCAAAGAGGCCTCCAAGCTCCCCCTGGTCTTTGGTTCCACCTTGTCCATTTGTGCACACAGTGGGCTGGGGCACAGACCCAGGGCCAGGCAGGTGCATTGCAGATTGGAGCAACGAACCAGCTGTGTCACCTGTATCTCTGCCTACTCCAGCTCCTGCCTCCCCAAATGTCAGACCGTCATCTCGATTACCGTTGCGCTTCAATCCACCCTGATCCATTTCTTTATCCTGACAGGACAGTGAGGGTGAGTCAAAGAGTGCACAACACACAAAGAGTGAGAGAGAAAAGAGACAAGGTTAGGCTATAAAAACAGAGTCGATGCTGGATAATAGATACATATGCAGTAGCTAGTCCAGAAGAAAAGTGTATTTAAATATTGATCTTTCACAATAATGGGCCGTGAAACATTGGTAGAAATCTGTTATGGCGCAGTTTAAAAGCACTGTCAGTGCAAGGCTCAAGTCTGCTACTATGTCTATGCCCTCCATCTCTCTATTTAATTTTCTTTTTTTTTTTTTTTTTTTTTTAAGAAATGACAGCCGCCATATCAAACAGGCCATCTCCTCTTCTCACAACCACACTGGAACAATATGGCAGAGCCACAAATGGCACAAACCAGGCTGATCAGTACAAAACAAAAAAAAGACCACATTCATTACATAACACAAATGACTATAATGTTCATGTTATTTCTTTGAACTGTGCCCTCCTCTCAACTCAAGCATCAAAAAGTGCAAGACATGTCCAGGCATAACTTGTGTCACAGGCAGTGCCACTGACAAGTCGCTCATGCAACCAAACATGTGCACAACAACATACATCTGTTCGAAGAGATTAACCCACAATGGGCCTCTGGGCAATTGCAGCAGTTACCAATAACTGTCTATTAACGTTTGCAAGACAGAACAACAAACAACAAACAATTCAGTCAAATCTCTGTTTACAAAATTTGAAATTTAAATAAAATGCTATGAAATTGTAAAACTAAAACCGAATCATGTTGCAACAACCTCTGCAAAGGAAAGCTTATGCATGTGACCGTTCTGCAGCTCACTAATTATCTGTTGATCATTAACAATGATAGTCATATCTGGAGGGGCAGAAATGAACTACTGTAACCAAGCAAGCTGTCACTTGCGCCATTTTTTCCCTCTTTGGAAGTCAATACCACTAAATTAGAAAAACGCACAAATATTCTGAACTTCGTCTGCCATTTAAATGCATTAAATGTTAAAAAAAACACTTATTGTAAGCGGTTAATGAGGACTGGCTCACTTACTGTGATTTTTTTTAATTAGTGGATCGTCTGTATTTTATGTTTTTAGCCTCAAGCAGCGGCAGTAACATTCCTTCTAGAAGACATAAATCCATATGACAAGATATATGGTGCTATACGGGCAGTGGTTTATAGCACTTCCTTTACACATACTGCTGCACCGTGGTGCTAAAAGTGACATCTGAGCACTTGTGGCGGTCCTGCTTTTTCTCTGAAGAATGATTTTTCATTTTTATCGCACTCTCCTGGTGGAGAATTTAAAAAGATTTTCTTTTTTTGTTTTGGACATGGGTTTCACCACTTTCCCACGCCCACAATCTAAAGTGTAACCAATAGCTTCCTGGATTCAGACCAGGACAACATTGAGGTTGTTGACTTAATGTAATTTAGAGAAGGCAATAAAGGTCCTTGGTGTGTTCAAGTTGAGAAAGTTTGGGGTTTCGTGACTTGCTATACTGTACTTTTCCCACCGCATGGACACAACACATACAGCATTAGTGCAACCTGTTGGCTGCGATAGGAAATTGCACTGATCACACGCCTACAGCCGGAGAGGCTGATAAGAAGGAATACCGTGCACGTTTGTGCAACACTTTTGTCTGTCTTGCACAAAAAAAGACGCTTCCTCCGAGCGGTGGTTGTGATATTGTCAGTGTGTCACACGGCGCAGGGCTGTCAGTGAGCACACAACGCAGCGCCGGGGACGCTCGTCGTCGGCATACCCCGTAAGCACAACCATTCTGTTTTTTTTAAAACCTCTTTCAATATTTCTCCGGCTGTGTAATGAAAAAGTGTGCCAGTTTTCTGTCAAATAAAAGTACACTGTACCTGTGGTGAAAGCAGGATGCGCTCCCACCGGTTAGGTCATCTCCCGTCAGCCCAAGTTGGAAAAAAAAAAAAAAAAATGTGAGAAATAACGCAATGTCCACACAGTCAAGCCCTCAAATAAAACCACTTCCTTGCGGTAACGTTGCGTGGTGAAATGTCAGCTGCATTTGCTGCCGCTTCTCTCCCCGTACGGCGGAACAACATCGTCCGGAATATCAACTATTTTATAACTAAAGTCAACAACGTCGCTGACATATCTGTGGGGTGGGAGGTGGGGGGGGGGAGGCTGGCGAGATCCGCCGTCTGCGCCGTTTCGCCGATCCGTCGATAACTTTTAACGCCTGTCGCCGGCAGGAGGAAAAAAGTGATCGATCGGTCGCTCGCTCGCTATTTCAGGGTAAATCCGCAAATAATCGACAGATCTGCGGCGCAATATTGTGCTCTTGCGCCATTAAACCCGTGAGTATTAAAGTTATATAAGACAGCCGTGCTGCCCTGGCGCACTGAACTGCAAACTCAGGCAGGGCATGGCGGACAGTTAGTGAAACGCAGTCAAGGTGACCGGAGCGAGAAGAGCGCTTCCGTCTTGTCCTTTCAGAATAAAATCTCCGCTGTTGCAGCTGTCATAATGATTTAACACTATCATCCTGTTTATGGAAGAATGAACGTTTGGAGCTCTTTTAAAGCTGAGGCGTGTAAAAGAGTGTCGTGTTTTTTTACTTACAAAAAGCATGGTATGATTTCATTTTTTTTATTTAGTTGCTATTTTTTAAGGCAAATAGCTCAGCTTCCTGCCATCTTGTGTTTGTCTGTGGCTACTTGGCGCAGCTGTTAGTTTGACACTTGCCGGTGAACGCCCCTTTCCCTACTGAAACTCTCTCTGCTGGGGAATCTGTCAAAACGTGTCTTCGTCGGCCACCGCTAACCTCCAGGCATGGTGGGATCGAGGAGACAGTTCTAAGTGTTAACTTGTGTCGTGCTGCAGCCTCTTCAACCACTAAACCAAGGGATGGTTGGTACACATCCCTCGGTAGCGCTTGAATTTGGGGGTCCTTTTAAGGGTCAAAAAAGGTCTGGGCAAAAAAGGAGGACACTATTTTTTCCCTTAAGGAGAGCATGTAATCACATTTGAATCCCAGGTTTCATACTCCATTTATATCATGAAACAAATAAATATCTCACAAATTTCTTACAAATAAAAATCTCCTCCTCAGAAATGTATCATAAATCATAATCCACACAAAAACCACACAAAAGCAGACTGCTGACAATGCATTGACATGCACAGTATTTAATGTCTGTGAGGGGGAAAAAATGACACCAGGTTTGTTTTGACACCTTGTAGTATAATTTCAGTGTCATTCAACCAGAGTTCTTGCTAGGCCAAAAGACATAAATGACAGTTAAACCACTTCCAGCAATCGGAGAGCACACTGAGATTGAGAGACAAAAAGGGAGCTGTTGAAGAAAAGAGGAAGCACAGACAAACGCACAATACAGAGTTAAACTATATCCCTTTATGCAGGCTTCAGAGGCAAGAACCTCCAAACAAAAAAACTGCCTTCAGCACTTTACCATTAAGGACATTAATCATTCCTCAGTCCAGCTCTTCCTCTATTCGTGAGACAGCAGAGTTGTAATTTAGTAGCTGAAACAGGGTGTAGTGCTTTTCATTATAGAGCAGAGACTGAGGGATCAAAGGGCAAATTGACACCCAGTAGCGCTCTGAAAACTTGAAGCATAAACCTGATTTTGTAACCCCCCCCCGGGCAATGTTTCAAACACAGAAAAGCAACACACCCTAATAAATAACCTGCAAATGTTATTTTTCAAATATTATTTGTCAAAATAGTTGTGAATTTTTTTTTTTAATTATAAAATACAAAGACAAATTGTACGTGACATACAAGAGGCCACGAGAGGCACAACATTGTTATTTCTGAATGGATTTTTGGAGTTATTATCTTGTAGGATAGTTCAAAAGTTCCTTTTAATGCATTTAAAGGGCATACTTGAGTACTACACAAACTGACGAGTGACCTTAGACTACAACACTATTATACATTTGTGTTGGTCAGCTTCACCAGACAAGGTCTTTCATACCAAATTCATTTTACTGATGGTACTTCAGTGGACCAGAACAAGGACTAATTTGTGTTATGTGTTCAGCAGAGTCAGCTCAGGGTAAAGAAGATAGAGAAGAAGAGGAGAGGAAGGGAAGTGGACAGTCCAGGCTGTGCAGACAGGCGTAGACGAGAACCAACAGCCAGATGAAGAGAAAAGGGAAAGGAAAGGGACGGAGGGAGAGAGGGGGGTGCAGGTGTGGCCCTCCATGCAAGTCATTCGATTAGAATGGGGCAAAGTGTGTCCTGTGCATGTGGATGTCTCATTAAGAGCTAGTGTGGCTGGAGAGAAGCAGGAGCTCCCCAGGGCCTGAGAAAACCACACTGTTCTCAAAACATCATAGGGAACACTGTGCGTTTTTAATGCTGGGTAACAATGGGTGATCCTATTTACCAATAAATAATAAAAACACTGGACATGTGGTGCTCCATGTGCATGTATACACAACTGGGAATTCATGGAGAAGTATGTTACTGTGGTTGTGTAATACACCTTGCTCTGTATGCATAGTAGGTTACACTAGTTCCAATGAATGCGCTGCTGCAGAGCCAACTACATGTGAATATTCATTGATTAGTGTTAAGTTTGGGTTTCAAATGTTCTTGACCTTTGGAAAAACACACACACACACACACACACACACACACACACACACACACACACACACACACACACACACACACACACACAACCCTGGATTCAACATTTGCCTCAACAATCACTAGACCTGAGCAGACACACACAGACTTATGCTGTTTGCTGCCCATTGGCTTTTATAAATATGTGCTTACATTACAGGTCAAATGCATGGTTAAAAGGTCAGTTCATTCAAATCACAAGCAGTTTCTCATTTAACCAGTGGTATCTAGTCATGTGGATGTTGTAACCTTTTGGTTTTATCTGCTGATATCTCTGCCACCACCCAAACACAATGGAGGTGAAAGGAATTTTATGCTCACACCATTAAAAAAAATGTTCTTTGAAAAACTAAACAACATTGTGTTCCAGAAACAATTTCCCATTTACTCAAAGTAAAATTGTTTATCAGAATTACTTTTGTGATCTCTTAGTGAACGTGTTTAGTATTATTTGATATTTTCCGCCTTTATTAGGGGGTTGACAGGAAATGATGGTAGAGATGTTACCAAACTCTTAATGTCAGTGAAGGTATTTACGTAAAAAAAAATGGGAGATGAGTCCATCTGCCAGTGGTTGGAAAAGGATTTGTTTTTACTACTCCTTCTGCCAAAATCTGTAAACTCGCAGGCTGACCACTTGCCAAACTCTGTCTAATGAACAAGCAACTGGTGAGTCCACACAGGCGTTTTGTTCAAGCCTTGATTTGGGTAGCAGGGATGTTCAGAGTGACTACTGAGGCTCAAGCTATTGCACCTTTTTCTTTCATAAACGGCCACTCTAGAAAAAATAGGTGACATTTTTATTATTATTATATATTACTAATGTTATTGTAGCTGCTGGTGCAGTTATTCTTAAAGCTGTTAAAGTGTAATGTAACAATAATGTAATCTTCAATGTCTGCATTGCGTTTCTTCCTAAAAAACAATTTCCCCCACCTTTCTTTGCACCAAATTAACAACATTTGACTTGAAAATACATTAGCATAATTTAATCAACTCCTAGACTTGTATTAACTCAAATGTCATTAAGTCAGTGAACTAAATTGTAACTTAACAGCACTAAATTATTAATTGAGTGTATTTTTCTCTGTAACATTCACACTCTTCCCCAAAAAGATTGGCAAAATTCACAAAGCAGGACTTTCGTAACACAATTGTGTTATGTAAGACTTGAGGAGGAAGCACAGTAAGGGAGGAAGAGTTTCTTTTAAGAAGGAAGTACAGAAAGGAAGGAAGGATTTTAAAGGTGAACAGGCAGTTCACGCCCCTTTGGTATTTCTTCTTTGAGACTGGGGCTGTGCTGAGTTAGACAATGAGTAGGAAACATAGGAAGGATGGAAATGGCACAGCAAGGAAGGATTTCTAGACAGACTACAAACAAACAAGTTATTATTCTGTGTGATGTGTGAGTCTGCGTTTGTGTATAAAAACAACCCAGAAGCAGAAGCAAGTCCAGGAATCATCCATAAAGAGAGTTGTGCTTGGATGTAAAATATCTGGAAGTCATCTGACCCGAATCGAGGCCTTATCAGAACTGATCCATGTACTGAGCTGTTGTTTATACTGGATGATATATTTTGTCAGCTACATGCCTGATTTGAGAATGTGAATGTGAATACCAAGGCCTTTAAATACAAGGCTTGTACATTAAGGAGTGTTATATCTAAATCAGAGAAAAATATATGTCTTTGATTTGCTTGTGTATTCAGCAGATTCAGTCTTCCATCGGAGCACATGCTGTACTGTAGCTCCTATATAGTCATGCACAGCTTCTGTCAGACAGGAAGCCTGGATGATAACTTACCATTCCAGGATGGCATTTGGCAAACGTCCCTCTGTCTGCCTTGACATACAAAAGAAAGTGTACTTATGCTTATGTAAGTGCTTAAGTGCTTTCACACGCAGCTCCACGCCAACAGGAAGTGTCTGTCCATCTTATCTGGATTAAACTGTAGTTGCAAATGGTTTTTAATGTTTTGTAAAGCCAAGATACATGAGACAAGAGATGGGTGTGCCAAATAGGGAAATACAGTCAGTGTCACACAGTTTGGACAATCACAGGAAATCTATTTTAAGTAAAGGCAAAGCCAATTTAATCCAAAGCACTGGTGGAATGTAACTATGTAGACCTACATTTAGTCAAGTACTAAACCTACTACAAGGAGTTTTTACTGGTTATGAAATAGTCTCAGTTTAATACGGATGCCTCAATATGACCTACAGAACACAAGACCATCAGTAATGATTGGCCATTTCTGTAGAGTTATTACCCTTGAAATCAATGAAACAAGGTGGTGGAAACTATATATATATATATATTGAAAGTTCCTTGTTGCTGCTTTGAGTACAATTTTGACCAGTACAATACTTGTGCTTCACTTGAGTATTCACATTTCATGCTACTTTTTACTCTACTTCACTATATTTCAGAAGGAAATGTATAGTTATAGTTTGGATTGACTTTTCAAATTAACATTTTATATGCATAAAACATGATCAGTTTATAAAATAATCATTGCTGTAGATTAGACAGCCCAACCACATGATAAAAACACTGAAATACTGCCTAAAAGTTCACATCAATGAACTAATATTTATATTCCAGTATAAAATATAAATACATTTTGTTGCCAATGCATTTGTACTTTTACTTCAGGAGAGATTTTGAATGCAGAACTTGTAATGGGATGTTTTTTCATTGTAGTATTGCTTTTACGTAAGTAAAACATATCACGTCTTCCACTGGAGACTCCAAGCTGGTTA